AGATGCAGAAAAGGGCACTCCAAAGCCATAAAGTCTACAATTCTGTAAAGAAAGAAACATTAGAAAATATTCTTCAAAGTGGTCAAATGAGGAAAAAATAAGGGGTAGAGGAGGAAGCAAAACTAATAGTCTAGCTATTGCTACAAATAAAAGACAAATATGTTCTTTCTTTGGCCCTCAACTATCCTTTAGCATAAAAATAGTGTTCTGAATTATAAAAGAAAAGATTAAATTTCCTCCAATATTACCAACAAAACCATCTTTGGAATGTTGTTTGGTACTAATACAATAAGTGTAAACTGGCAAAAATACTTTGAAAAAATAATTCTCTGGGTATGTAATAATTGAAGAATATGCTGTGGTGTCTCATTTATCTACTATCCTCAGGCAATGAGATACTCCATATAAGATGAACTACACAGAGATATTCTGATGTCAGTCTCTCTCTATATACATATGAGTTTTTCTCTCCTACCTTACTTTGATGTTGTCTGACAGCGAGAGCCAGGGGCTGTTCTACATTTGTAGAGGGGTATGTGCCTCTTAAATAAATGGCTTCAGGCTATTTCAAAATAGTTCTTTTATCTTACTTCTCCTGAGGAGTAAGCCCTCCCTTTTTTAATCTGCAAAGCTATTTTATATAAAGGTACAGGTGGCACTACAGTCTCCTATTGAGGTTACAGCAAATCTGACCTCTGGATGGATGAAGTGTTATCATAAATAGCTATGCCATGGAAAGGGAGAGCCAATAAGAAGCATTAGAGAGAAAAGAGCTGAATTGTTAAGGATTCTTTTTGTGTAATTTACTAAACTTCAGATTAAAACAAAATATTGATATATAACCAACAACCAACCACGTGTATTCAGCACACTCGCACCTCTACTGAACTATATAACCCCACCATTCAGGTTCTGCCCAAATGCCTGGGCCGGACACCCTGTGGTTTGCTCCCTCACCTCCTCAGGTCTTTGCTCATCTAATCAAAAAACAGCAACCTCCCTTGCTGACTCCCCCTTTGCCCACTCTCCTTTATTTTTTCCACACCATTTGTCACCAACTGATAAGACACTTTACATTTTGTTTACTGGTTTACTGTCTGTGTCTGCACAGACTCCACAGGGGCAGGGATATCTGTCTACTTGGTTCACTGATGAACCACTTGTACCTAGAGCAGAAGCTGGTAGAGCGGATGCTCAAACATTGCTCTGGAATGAATGAGTAAACAATTTAAATGAATGGTCTCATGGAA